ACGTGGTGACGCTATTAAGAGGTGTCCCGTCCACTTAGCCAGCCCACTATTGTGGACCATGTGATGCGATGCGATGTGATGCGATGGGCGCAATCTATTTATTACTTTTGAGGAAAATAAGATTTAATACTGAATTCACAATCTAAGGACACGAATTAGACTGCTACGCATGCTTATATACAGGAAGTTGAATTGTCTGTCCTTCCTTTTACATACTCTTTTTATGCCGTTCTATATTTTGTGATCACGGTTAAACCACGTTAACATTTTATATTAATTTTTTTATCAAAATAATAAGATAAAAAATAATAGGAATATAAAATGTTAACATAGCTCAACCATGACCACAAAAATATGAAGGCATGAGGAGGGTATGAGATGGGAATGGCAGACAATCCAAGTCCTATATACAGAATCTAATAACTAAAACATACTATTAATTAAGGTTGTTAAACTGGAATGTAAAGCAGCGATCATACCATATCCTTTCTGAACAGATGAACAATTTGCTTATTTAAGTGAAAAGGATAATATTTGAAGTGAAAAGATTCCTCTTTTATATGATGTGAAATTTTATTTTTACTATGTGCGTCTAATTTTCAAGTCTAGCACGTAAATACGAATTGAATGACGTGGAACACATGTGGTTGTTTAGCTTCAGGGCCGGCCCTGAGAAAATGGGGGCCCTAGGCGAGCCTTCGAGTGGGGGCCCTAAAGTTCTTTGACACCAAACTCATTGTACATTTATATGTATAAGAAAATATTTTGCTAAATACATGAAAAAGTTCACTTCTACATCAAAAATCATTAGAATTCATATCCAAAGAAGAAAGATATGCAAACATTACTTAAATATTACTCGTCTCGTTTTTTTAGACGCAAATGTATTAATTAAGTTTATATAACTAAAATTCAATATTCTGTAAACAACAAATTGACAAAGAAACAAACTAAAATTCAAATTTTACCTACTATACCCCAACACAAAAGTTTGATACAAATGACACAACACAAAACGAGGCGCATAAAAAAATACAGTAAAATTCAACATCGAAACTTCGAATTATCTTGAACCAAAACTAGTTAGGAAGCAAAAGTAACCAACCTTGTTAAGTGCACCCATAATCCATTTATCTTCTTGAAGGGATTTAACCACTTTATTAAGTGCATCCACAAGTTTGAATACTCTGATTTCGCATAAACAATATGCATTAAAATAAACAAATCATAAACCCTAGAATCGAAAATCCTAATTATATTTACAAACACAGCACTCACAAATTAAATTATAAAAAAAGAAGCAGAAGAGAAGAGAAGCATTGATCGGGTACCTGACCTCTGTAAGTGGAGTGGGAAAGAACCAATTCGCAAGCGCAGACTTGCTACCAGTATGCTGTGCGTTAAATTCCCAAAAAAAAAAGTTGAATTGGTGCTGAAGTTTCACCCCACCCAAGACACTTTGTACGCCAAGTTTCAAGACAATTATGTGATTTTATATTTAAATATTTTATTAAATTCAAACTCTAAAAATATATTTATATATGTTATATATATACACACATATTTAAAAAGAAATATTTTTGGGCCCCCCCCCACCCAAAACGCTGCACGGCAAGTTCCAAAAAAATATTTATAATTTCATATTTAGATATTTTACTCAAACTACAAAATTATATATATAAATATATATAGAAAAGTATGATTGGCACTCTAAAATTCTCATTATACATTCCAAACTTTCTATATTTAGAAAGAAAGTACACTTGTGAAGAATGTATGATGAGATTTTTAGAGTGTCAATAGCACTTCCCTATATATAAAAAAAAAATAAAAAATTGGGGGCCCCTCCCGAAGTGGGGGCCCTAGGCGGTCGCCTACTCGGGCTACCCTCAGGGCCGGCCCTGTTTAGCTTCATACATGAGACATATTGGTCTGATATCATAAAAAAAAAAGTTAAGATTCACCATGAAACCAATTGACATTAGTGAGTAACTTAATTATTTATAAACAAATACAATGTCCCTCATTTGCCAATGTGAAGTTCATATTCTTCACAATAATAAATAATTACTTTTAAAATGATAAATTAATAAATAGACGATTTTAGTCATAGTGCAACATTGTAGAACGAGACCAGAATTAGTAAAGTAGAATAAGAATTGTTTAATTAAAAGATTGCTAGTATTCCTCAAATCTCAATCCTCTTGATGATTACCCGAATTCTTTTACTTAAAATTTCTCAAATTACCACACCCGGCATTTTGTTTGAATGATCTGTTGTAGATAAATGCCTTGAATAATCGTTCATCATTAATAATTTGGTTGCTAATTGCATCAAAGCATTCTCCGAAAAAATGACTGAGACCAACGAGTTTAAAATACATTAATAGCATAGGTAAAATGTCTTATTAGACAAAAACATGATTTGAAGGACAACATCATCTGAATCACGTACTAATTAAGCAGGAATATTGTGTCGGTGTTCTTAGGATTCTTGTCACTATCGTATATACGTTTAATGTCACGTATCCCCGAACCTAGTTGTAGGCATGTACTTCCCTATAAAGTAGTAAAATGTTTAACAGCTACCACACATACTAGATTTATTCTCACGGACTGACCATTGTTAAACTTTACAATAATTAATAATCTAAATGCGTGACAGTAAAATTACATTTGATCCTTCTTCAAAAATGCTTATTCAAAAAACGCTTTTAGGAACAAGAAACTCTTTTAAATTTGTTGTCAAACACAAATATAAACGCTTTTGGCTGTAAAAAATACATGTGGTAAAATTGACATTCGCAGGTGTGCTGTGGTTAATAAATGAAGATACTAAGTGATTGGCAAGGAGAAGAAGATAAGTACCGAAGGACAACGACATAGTACTGGCCAAAGAGAATTTTCGATGTTTAAATTAGCAAAGTATATTTAGATGCCACGTGGACAGTGGTTGGTTAGTGATAATTAGTGGTGATTAGTAATTAACAATTACTTGTAAAAGAGAGTAATTAGTGGTTTTCCTTTTACAGAGGTGAAGTTGGAGGACTTCGCGGAGCTCGCCAATGCGGAATTGAAGATGTTTAATGTGGTTGTGTTCTTGTTCATGATTGGTCTCCAAGCTGGAGGAAGTCTCTTATTGAGTGGCCCTCAATTTAGGGTTAGTTCAAGTATAATATTCAATAATTTCGTACTCAATCATATATGGTACAAACAAACTCGGCAAAAACATCCACGATCTCAAACTTGTGCATGAACACTTGGCCCTCTTCGATTAAGATTCCTGCTTTCTTCGTCTACTCCTCAAAGAAAAAGTTAATGTTTTGAGCAAAGTTGAGCATCGGTTATTAGACTATAAAAAAAATCTAATGCAACAGAGAGGGTAACCCAATTAAATTAGGAGAAATTGGAATCCAGTCCTAGCTGGTTACCAATACTCTATGATTTATTGAATTTCAGTTTCTGATCAAGATCCTTGTTTACCAATACTCTATGATTGAAACTTTGTGAATAGTAAAATGTTGATGTGTACAAAATCCGTAGACCTTAATCAGAAACGAAAATTTAACAAGATTTCAATCAAATAATTCTATCAACTAAAGACCGAATACGAAGTGTTCCATTAAATTATTTAAAAGATGCGTGGCTCTACGAATGGTGGGTCCCTTGGAGAAAAAGCGAGAATTATAAGATGGGCAAAGTACTATATTTTTAAGTGTTTTGTTTAATATCGTAATATATATCCGTTTTTAAAATATGTTAAGCAGTTGTCGACTCCAGAACTGTCTGCCCACTTCCACAACACCTGTCTGCCCACTTCCACAACACCTTGCTCGAAAAAGGTTAAAAACTTGCATGTAAAATAATAATCCTGGAATCAAACCCTAAAAGAATGGATGCAAACCCTCCACAAATGGAATATAATGACCGATTTGATCAATTGTTTAATGTCATCGATAATCCAAATATATATATAAAGATGAAGGTGGGGAACATTATTGAGTTAATATTAATTCTCTAATCATTCTTGGTCATCACATGTTACAAAGTATAGGGATATTCACATACACATGTTACTTAAGCTGCAAAAATATCATAATTTTATTTTCTTGGCGCTCATTGATTGTAAAGTTTGACCGAGTATTCTTATTGTGGACAGAAGGACTCCAGATTTCTGTTGACGAATCAAGAAAAATTGGTTGGAGCGTTTTTGAGGTTGGCTTGCAAAAAGGGTTTTTGTTGTGCAAAAGTTGGAGAAACATAAAAGAAAAATGGTTTTGCTCGACTGGAAGTACTACTTGACCTTCTTTTTCCATCTCATGTTCCTCTTCCACCTTTCTTTTTCTTTTGAAGTTTTAGGATTGCCTGGTTGGTTGGTCTGCGTTACCGTCATATATACTTCATCAAAGAAACCATTTTGTTTCGTCAATTGAAACAACTGCAGATTAGCGGTGTAACATAGGTTTGGTAACCCGGCCGAACCCAACGTGAACTTTAACTCGATTAGGCGAGTTAAAAATAGGTCAAAACTGGTCCAAAAAAAAAGAAAAAAAAAAGCCAACCAACTCAAACGCGATCATTTTCCAAGTTGAGTTTAGGTTTAACTCTTGCATGCCCCAAAGATAACCAGAACAGAACTCAATTTATAGCCAGATTAGGGTTTAAGACAAATTGACTGCAACAATATGCTCTTCATATGCACTCATGTTAAATTCACTTAATTTAAATTAATTACTGTAGACCATTACTCGAGTAAAAGAAAGATATACTCACTGTACATATATTCAACCCGTTTCATAGAAAAAAGAAAGAAAGAAAGAATGTATATAATTAGGGCTGTATTACTAATAGTATGTTGTTTTAGGTTTTATTTTAATCACTTGTTTTAAGTAGTTGTTAGGCTTCTAAACCCAAACCTTGCAAGGAAGTAAGATGGGAGATTTGGGCCTTATCATTGAGTTGGTTCTGTGCTCAACTCGAATGGTAGTCTTGACTAATCAGATTCAGATTAGGGCCTTATATCCATTGATGTCCCTTCAATAGTTAAGGCTTCTCATAAACATGCAAACAAATATCTTTCCCTGTAAGGACTATATAATTTATCAAAGCACAAAACCCTCTAAGCACTGCACCGTCAAACATGTAGTGCACTTGTAAAATATTGTTCCAGCCTGATGAATAATAGTATAATACAACACGCTAAAGAAAAAAAGTGATAAAAATCAAGGAAACCCAGATGGGAAGCCAAAAAGCTTGAAAACAAATTGATGTGGAGGGTAACAAACTGAAACTGCTGCAAATATTGAGGTCAATGCAGTTCATGCTTTTGTTTCCTATTCCATTCTGTTCGTGCTCGTATTATCTCCACCTTATCGGCCTGCATCCGAAGAAGGTGTGTGTATTCTAGGTCTGGTCTACGATTGATGGAGTTGTTCTTGAAGTTGGAGTCATCAGCCAAACTTGATGTTGTACTTGTTAGGGACTCTAGCAAATTTGATTGCCTACATTCACGTCTATACTCCAATGTCATGCTTGTGAGATCATAATCTCCTAACACATTGATGGGCACACTCTGCTAAACCCAAATTAAGTGTGTTAGAAACACTCATTATGTATGTAACAAAGTAGTTAAGGTAAAGATGCAAAATGTTTTGTTGCCAAACTTTCTGTCTAGACTTCACACTAGGAATCTGAACCATTGATCAAGTGGGTTCTTGTTTGAATATGTGACCCAGATTCACAGTCTGACAACATAAGCTTTTGTTTGGCTAGGCAAGTTTCGCAAGAGAACATCATCCACTAGCTTGTGTTATTTAACTTATCTTTCGGTGATTTCAAGATTTGTGCATTAGGTTTAGTGAAATACCTCTAAAATCCATCCAATGTATTTCACATTGTTAACATGCTGGTTGGCATCCATGTCACTCCATCTTGGCTGGATTAATTGCAGGCAAAGGAGTTAATTAATATCAAAAATCTATTATACTAAACAATTAAAAAGGTCGTACCCAGTGCACAAGGCTCCCGCTTTACGCAGGGACTGGGAGAGGTGAATGTCGGCTAGCCTTACCCCCATTTATGGAGAGGTTGCTCCCAATATTATACTAAACAATTATTGTATGAAATGAAATGTAAACTCAAAAGTTTGTTGACCTAATATTTCTACTTACTGCTAGACCTGACGTGATCCTCTCTGCAGTATCGTCGTTGAGCTTGTCGATTTTCTCGCTATCATTTTTCTCTGTAGCAATTGCAAATCTGTTTAGGTAGAATGGTAACACCTCTTGCCTGACTTGATCAGGTATCTTGGACAGCCTTCTTGTCTCTCTGTTCATGATCACCCAGGTGCTGCATGAAGATAATGTACGAAATCAGGTGATTAGAAGATATTTAAACTTGGAATAAAACGTTAATATAATTGGTTCAATTACAGTAAGCAAAAGATCACAGACCTTGTAGCTCTGGTAATGATTTCTTGAGTTTGGTAGTCTCGGATAATCCAATCTCTTCGCATTCCGTTTTTGCCTGTTGCATCCACCCAAGTATCGATTTCGACCACATCTCCCCTGTCACATAGCATTTTTTGCACATCGGCCTGTGTGAGAGGTTTGAACTTGTACACATAAAGTTCAGTTAAGCTTAAAGTCATATGTCATATTTCTACAATACAGGCATATGAGTAATGTAGAGGAACCACATTTTCTCAAGTCCATTTTATCATTATTGGTCACATACCAGGAACTATATCTCTGTACTTGAATGTGAATCCGTGTAACAACCCAAATGAGCTTCCGGATGCTCATCTCACGAGTAGCCCCGAATCCATTTCCGGCAAGGCCGGAACTTGTCACATGATTTAGAGCTGTCTCCTGCCCCCATAAACCATATATATAAAGGTTACTAAGTTCAATGAAAGTACAATAAAGGATACTAAATTCAATGAAAGTACAGTAAAGGTTACTAAGTTCAATGAAGGTGCATATAAAACCAAATAATTCATGATTAATATCTCCAAATTAATTAAGGACAAAACGTCATTATTTGTATAATAAGTAAACTTTTTGTTCCTTAAAGCAAAAACTAAAAAAAATGCACCTGGAGGAGATTCATTAGGGTTTCCATGGTGGCAGTTTTGTCAGGTCCAATCTCATACGACCTAATAATAAACGTCTGCCTATAAACAAACCTCTCCTCCACAAACTTTCCATGCAAAGAGGAATGAGGAGGTGAATCGCCGTCACCATTAATCAGCTCTATACTATTCTTGTTTCCAAATAATTTAGCCTCTGCCACATGAACACCATTGACCTTCCCATTGATTGTCTGCACGCTTCTAGGAGTTCCACCGGCACCGGCCCTCACCACAAAGTTTCCATTTTTTCTCGTGATCATTGCTACATGCCTTGAAGGATAACACCCTAATTTCGTCCCCGTCTCATTCTTCTTCCACACCTTGAACACGTCCCCAGGGAGGCGTAGCGTGGCGATATTATTACTTCTTGCTGCCATTGATGATTTGGGTTATCAGATATTTTGGAAACAAATAAACCCAACAAAGTTCAAGTTTGATAAAAGAGGGTGGCGAAGCTTTTAGCACGGTCTTGTGGAAGATCAAAGAAAAAATTGTCAGATATTAGTATTAGGTGCAACCATTAATTGAAAGGAATAGGATATTTAGTTATACAATTTAGGACAAAGAATCAAGCTAAAAAGGGAACATTTTGTCCTTGAAAGTTTTAGGTCAACCACTTCTATGGGTGGGGGAGAAATGGGCAAGTTTGCACCAGTGGCTTGCACGCTAATGTTTTGAATGGTGTTTTTGTGCATGTTTACAAGGGAGTTTTTAATAATATATTATTTGGACAATAGTAATTTTGGATTAATAAGTAACTCTACCACTAATCATGTTGTTTAATTTGGTCTTGCTATCATGATATGCTCTAAAAATGGTATGCCTCTAAATAATAAGCCTTTGAAATCGTTGTGTTGGTAATCTGTCTTCCAATTTTAGTCATGAAGAGTATTTGACTTTGATGGAGATGCTTTCGGTCAAGTAATAAAATTTTCACGTCAATAAAGCTCAATTGCAATAGTGATACAAGTTGGGCATCAAAACCCCAAATAAGAGTTAACCCAAAATATTGGGTAAGGTAAGGCTGCAATGGTGTAATTTTATTTTATTTTATTTATTTATTTATTTTTTTGGAAATCCTGCAATGGTGTAATTGGACATCATATGTTGGTGCCTTTTGAGAGAAGGCTTCACTAAGCTTGTTGATTGTTGGACCTCCATGTGGGATAAATGAAAGCCTTCATGTTCACGTTTCTCATTTATGTATCAAGTTCAAATTAAGCATCCTCGAGGAGAAGCGATGGGTTCGCAGGAGAATACTTTGTTGTCCTTTAATTAGCTCCCAAGTTGTTGGTTTGATGTTTTTTTTTTTTTTTTTTTTTTAATGTCAAACGATAGATTTGTTAGATTATGAAGCCGACATGATTCGAATTCTCCGTGGTACAAAAACAACACTTATCTCCACCACTATGGTATAGAGTTGGTTTGATGTTTCAATCAAGTCTTTCCAACACCTCAAGATGGTTGAAGATAATGCCATGATGTTGAATAATGTCTAAAGATCATACGAGTGTGACCCATAAATGTAGCAAATTAGAGCCTTTGGTATTAGACCTAAAATTCATGGTGCTGAGTTTTAAGAAGAGTTGTGTTGTTATCAGCACATTTTTTTCTTACTTTCTGCACATCTTTCTTAAAAGGGGATAATATAAAGTATGCGAATAGTAATACGTTTTAAGAAATTTTTTGTTTTGAAATCAGAGTATGTTTTCCTATTTAAAATATATATTTCCTGATCCAATGTAAAAGGGGATAACACATTAACACTGGTATGGAACCAATTTCTCGATTGACGACCGACATGGCGACACAATAATGATCATCGATGGACCTTGGCTTCTCTATAATTCTAAGATAAATATAATCATGACCCCACCTTGGATGATCCGTCTCATGCCTCAACCGGCCCTGAAAAAAAAAAGGGGGGAAAATTTAAACACTTGATTAGATTTGGATCCTCATCCTCCGGCACGTGTGACCGACCTCGATTAAACTACGGAAAACCCACAAAACACCACCACGTGGCTTGTGTCTGGAGCAAAGAACAAGGCCATTTGTCATTTGATGTAACGGCAGAGCCCCACGGCCTCCAGCCACGCACGCACCTGACTAACCTCACCGCACTGGACTGGGCGGCGGGAAAGATACCCCCTCTCTCTCTCTCTCTCTCTCTCTCTCTCTCTCTCTCAAGTTCAGGGACTAGATGATTTGAAATTTGATTAATGATTATCTCTCTCTCTTTCAAGTTCAGCGAATAGAGGATCCGTACTTTTGAAATTTGATTAATGATTAAAACAGAAAATTAATAAATTTTTTTAAATTTTAATAATTTTTAATCATTAAATCAAAATTTGATGATTTGGATCTCGTATTTTGGAAATCGAAAGATACCCCCTCCCTCCCTCCCTCCCTCAAGTTCAGGGACTAGATGATCCGTACTTTTGAAATTTGATTAATGGTTAAAACAGAAAATTAATAAAAAAAATTTAAATTATAATAATTTTTAACTATTAAATCAAAATTTGATGATTCGGATCTCGTATTTTGGAAATCTACTTCGACACGCTAAAGGCAGGACCCGATACTTGCTCTTCTCTTGCCACGTGTCCCCTTACTTCCATCGTATATAAATGCAGAACCAGTTGTCTTCGTTTCAATTAACTCTGGATTTCCCAACTGAATAAACCGTTTTTCTCACTGACTCGTTTTTCTGCAACCAATCCAGTTAAATCCCTATTTTGTTTTTTGCTTCAGTTTTCAACTTCTTGGTGTTTTTGTTGGAACCCACAAAGAAAAAATGGGAAAAGCTTGGACCTTTCTTACCCAACTTCACACACTTGCTGGGTAAAACTTTTTTCTTGCCTGTGTTGATTTGTGTTTCTTCTTTTGGGTCGAGCAGTTGTCTGACCCGCTATTTTCTTGACAACTTCTGCAGGCCAGTGTTGACGTTGCTTTACCCTTTGTAAGCAGATCCTCTCTCTCTCTCTCTTGAAGTTTATTTCTTTTGATTAATTTGATGAACCCCAATAAGGGGACGAAGAAGTTGTTGTTCTTAATATGTGGTTTTTGTTATAACGTGCATGTATGTGTGTGTATATATGATTTGTAGATATGCATCAGTGGTAGCAATAGAGAGCACATCCAAACTAGATGATGAGCAGTGGCTTGCTTATTGGATTATTTACTCTTTCCTCACTCTCATGGAGATGGTGCTACGACCAGCTCTTGAGTGGTAAGAACAAATCAAGAAAGTTTAACTCAAGATTAGATACCACAAACTAAGTTTGTTGGGGATGGAATTTTTGTAGGTTACCAATTTGGTATGATGTGAAGCTTGTGTTTGTGGCATGGTTGGTGCTGCCACAGTTCAAGGGGGCAGCTTTCTTGTATGAGAGATATGTGAGAGATCAAGTCAGAAAGTATGGAGGGTTGAAAGACCATCCGAAATCCGGCAAGACATCCCCCACTGGCAAAGCAAAGAAGAAGTTTATGCAGTTCCTGACCCCCAAGAATGTGAGTTCTAAATTCAAAGCTTCATAATATTTCATTCGTTAATTCTCGTTTGATTTATTCAATTTAAAAGCCCATAAAAAGATATGGAGTGAGAAAATTGAATTTTCATTTTAATTCTCAACTGTGCCTTTTTTTTCTTCTTCTTTTACACCTTTTGAGATTGATGTTTACTATTATTTATGCTAATTAATCCTTGATTTGGTTGATGGCTAGGGGGAGCAGGAGGCTTATTGAGAAAGGCAGAGAAGCAATCTAATTTCCCTAGTTGACTGGTGTGGATGGGTGCATTGACTGGAACTTCTTCACCCTTTGTTTTCTTTTGTACTCAACTTTTTAACCCTACCCATGTTCAACTTCTAAAGTTGATGACTTTGATGCTCTTGTGTTCCTTCTTCATCTGTAATTACTGATCATTAATTAGTGTGTAATATATGATTTGTGTTCAAATCTTTGCTAATGCAACTTAACCGAGAGTAACCCACCAACCAAGTTACTTGGCTGAAGTATATTTTACGTTACAAGAATTGGGTAACGAGATTCTTACACTAAGCGGTTTTTGACTTCTATTAATTTAATTTTTTGCTCAATTTCATCATCTAACTAAATGTTATGTGCTGATGTGGTATAAACTTAGCCCATATTTTAAAAAACACTCGGTTACCATCAATTCAATGTTTATTTACTTTTTTTTAATTTTATCTTTTTATGAAATTGGTAATTAACGTGTTCTTAAAATGCGAGTGTGGTAAATGTTGTTTTGACTCTTAACATCTAATTCGACAGTGTTACAAAATGGGACTCACCTATTAAGCGTGCTTTCATTTAAACAGTATCAACTTGGATATAATTTTTATTGTAAATTAAAAAAAAATAAATAAATGATACAAAAACAAAAATATTAAGAAAACCAACAGCCTTAACCAAACCTCATGAAACACAATGTCCTCTTTTTCTCTCTTCTACTCAATAGCTACCACCAACCACGGGCGAAGCTACAGATGCGCAAGGAGGGGTGGTCGTCCCTCATCTCGCCAGAAAAGTAATCCAAATGCGAGCAGCAACCTCTTTGGTCGGTCGGATCTGGGTGGAATTAGGCGGGGATAACCTGGTTTATGTGAAGAACAGAATTTGAAAAAGTTTAGTTGTAGAACATCGGTTGGCGAGAAGGTGAACGTGTCATATTTCTACACATTGCATCTTCATCATTTTCGAGTATTGCATCCACTGTTTTGCAATTAAACTTTTCAAATTCCGTTTTTCACATAAACCAGTTTTACCCCTCGTAGCGCCGCCTAGCTCCGTTTAATTCCGCCTAGATTTGACCGATCAGCGAGGCAGCTACTAGGGGGCTACTTTTTCGGTAGCCTTGGCCTTGCCCAGACAATTTTCGACTTTGCCACTGTCACTAATCATCCCCCAACTCTAACAACTGATGCGAAAATTAACTTAACACACAAATTAAACCATCTTTTGACAATTGTAGTATATGTATAAGTAGGGATCGTTCTGGACCGGGGATTATGAGGGTTTGCTAATAACATCTAAACTGACTCAAAAACATAAAACTAAACTTAAAAACACTTAACAAGACTCACAAGACTCAAAGCAAACTTAAAATACTCAAAACAACTTAAAACAACCAAATAAACTTAAACTAGACACTAGGAATGACTTTGGACGAAAATTGACTTTTACTTGAATCAAAACACTTAAAAACACAAACTAAAACGGATTCTGACTAATTAGACACATTAAAGTAAAGGGGGATTGAGTTTTGGATGAATTTAAAATAAAAACAAGTAACTAAAACTTAAGACAGATTTTGGAAGAATTTGGTTGAATTAGATGGATGATAAGCTAGCTAGAGGCTCTTTCTCCACACATGACATGTATGCAAATGAATCAATTTCCAGTTACTCTTTCATCGAATTATAAACGACAATGCCCCAAATTAACCGTGACATCACTAGTTAACCCTCAGATTTTCCTTGTATTATTGGATTGGATGACATCATTCGACAACCCAAAACATTCTTCAAAAG